GAGCTTGAGCAACCTGTGTGTGCACTCAAGAATTCGGAAACAACCGCTGGACACAACTCGAATTGTCAAGAATCAGCCTGACACCGAAAGAAGCCATTGTCAATCGATTAAGAATCCTTAAGCCTAAGCCAAAGACCATCCGAATTCTTGAGACGCGTTGAGCCAGAAACTCCAAGCGCACGAAGTGGTTGCAGAAAGGACAAGTGGACGGCCCATTGATTGAGGGATCTTTGGGATGGGCCATGTTCTTTACACAAAACAATGGTGCATGTCTTCTGGCTCTGCAGCATGCATCTGCTGTAGATTTTTGGGACAGGACACAAGTTCTTCAAGGCATAGTTAAACAAACAAACTTGGCCCTCAACGGTCGGTCGGACCACCAGCTGAACTGCACCACCTTTCTGACCAAGCAGGTTACCCCCGTCCTTTGATCCAGGTGATCCACCAATTCTTGCACCATTCGTGGTTTCAGGTGATCCATCCAGGGTCCTTGGACCAATCCTTTCAAGGACCGCGTCGACGTTTCAGGCTTTCATTCAGCTCTTGTTTTGCGCATTCGCGGAATGCGCTGAAACAGCATCGCCATCTGCGCAGGTCGGTTCTGCCAACCGGCGGCAAAATGAGGCGTGGAAACTTCACCACCGGGAAGTTGGACCATCGTGGCGCGTTGCAGTGCGCAACATCGCTGCTAAAAGAGCGCAAGCATTGGCTGCCCATCTCCAGTTCACCCAATCTGTCCCGGGCACGGCCACAGGGGGTTGCGCCTTTACATCGTCACCGAGGTATCCGAGCACACAGGTGGGGTGGCTAGGGAGGGATAGCGCCCCAACTGCTGGCTCGAAATCCAACGACTCGATGAGATTCAGTTCCGAGGATTGTGAAGCAATCAAAAATGACCAGTTCGGTGTGGGTCGTCAGGGGTATAGTACTGGCATCTTGTGCTGTGACGCAAAACATGGGGACTAGAATTACACACTCAACCCAATCCAATCAACTCCGTCTAGCCTTGTGACCACATGCTTGCCTGAAAAGGACCGACTTGGTCGGACTGTGTGTGTGATACTTTCACCCAACACAAGAAACAGCAACTTCTGGACTGGAGGAACAACTTGGCAATCGGTGTGAGCCGAGCAGCCACCAGAGGGTCATTGGGGATGCGCATTCTGCATCATTCTGCTGAAAACTGTGGGGAATCAAACAATGGATTTGGTCGGCTTGACGGCATCTGTTGAGTTTTGATGACAAACTTGGGTCAGGAGAGGCTGATTCCAGGAAGAGTGTTGAGTTCTATTCAGCTGCAGCTTGCAGCGGCAGCTCATGACTCAAGCTTCAATGTATCGCAGTTCAAATGCCCACATATTTCAAGCTCGTGGAACGTTTCATAACAAGGGAGCCTCCCAAAGCTGTCGAAGACTCAAATAGAACAATCCTCGCAATGAAGAGTCTCAGCATGCAAATGAAGGCACAATGGCAAATCAAACATCAAAAAACGAGGTCACCTTCACGCATTTGCAGCCTGCCGCGCCCTTGTCTTGAGGAAGCCCTGCAATTTTGCGAAGCATCTATTGGGTCACAGGGTATTGGGCCAAGCGAGGGGAACAGCGGTGATGAGAAGGGTAAAAAGATTCCCCTCCTTTGCTAACAAAGCAGCAACTCAGCAACTTACTAGACATGACAGCAAGTAAATCAACTTCTGGCAAGGAACACGATGACGGTATGAGAGGATTGCCAAACATTACCAGCTCGGTGGCATCTTGTGCCGTGACACAAAACATGGGGACTAGAATTACGCACCCAATCAACTCCGTCTAGCCGTGTGACCACATGCTTGCTTTAAAAGGACCGACTTGGTTGGACTGTGTGTGTGATACTTGCACCCAACAAAAGAAACAGCAACTTCTGGACTGGAGGAACAACTTGGCAATCGGTGTGAGCCGAGCAGCCACCAGAAGGTCATTGGGGATGCGCATTCTGCATCATTGTGCTGAAAACTGTGGGGAATCAAACAATGGATTTGGTCGGCTTGACGGCATCTGTTGAGCTTTGATGACAAACTTGGGTCAGGAGA